AGTGTGTCCTTTGTTAATCTACTGAATACTGATTAAAAATCACTGCCTACCTGTGTGACCTTAGGTAAGTCATTTAATCTGTGTGCATGGCATAGTTTTTCATATCATAAAACGCTACTATCCCAAAAAAGAAGTAGCTTCCACTTGAGGTGTTATCATTATTTTTTAGTGTTAACTTAGAAATTTAGACAATTACATATATGTTGTGTTACAAATTACTGTTAAGACATCAGAAGTGGGATATTTTGGAACTCCTAAAAATACACTAGAACATTCAAAATGGAATATTACAAATACATTTTAGCTTACTCATACTTGTTGATATTTTCTTCTATGGCTGAAGCATAATTTCTTTCTCATAAGGACAAAATGTTGTTTTATAAGTCAGATTACCAAATGATAGAACTTGAAAATCTGTTGAGAGGTTATCTGCATTATAACTTTCTAATCTATTTATAGAACATAAATCATGTGTTACGTTTTCACTAATCATGTTGCTATCCATCATTAAATTGTGTTTCAAAGCCCAGACATTCTGAAAGGTCACTTCGTTTTGTCTGAACTTTACATTAGTTTGGAGGGAAAACCTATTTTTTGTTGTTATTTATACCATGGAAATATGCAGAAAGGAGCTAAGAATATGTCTGAATGAAGAATCTGGACAGACATGAGGCATCATTATGTTACATCATTCTTTTGCTTACATTTCATTCCTGTAATTTTAGACATTATTATTACCAAAAACAAACACAGAGGGATGGAGTTCACTTCTCCATTTTTCATGTAACATAAATAGACCTCAACAGTTTTTTTAAAAATTCAGTTTAGTATTTTCATACTAGCTTTCAAATACATTTCCTTGTGAAAACTAGTTTATACATTTCATTTTCAGCACTTGTACTGATATGAATGGCTTTATTACAAATATTTTAATATTTGATATGCATAGACTACCCAGATATTTTGTAAATTTATTTACCAGTTACTTCATTTCTCTCAGCTGAAAAATAACACTTTTTTTATCAAATGCTGCCAAATTACAATTACCATTATTAATTTTACTTTTTTACTTTTTAATTTTTTTATTTTAAAGAGAAAACAAAATATAACTCAAGAAACTAGTTCCCTTTCAGGATGTAAAGCTTACTATGCTTTCTAAGCAAGAACTCAAACCTAATATGATGTGTGAATTACAATGTGACTTTCTATGTAGGCCTGCTGTTGAGGTGAGATTTGAAAGCTCACCAATTAGCTCCTAGCATATACCCCTTTTAAAAAGATTCATATGAAAAGCTCTACATTCATTTCTGCTAATGAAAGTATAGTGACAAGCCTGGGATAGCATTCCAATGACTCTGGCTTACAACCTGACAGATGGCAATGTCTTTGCAACCACACAATCACAAATACGTGCGTCTCCTCTCCCCAGATTATAAGGTGTCTTCGGGAAATGAATGAAGCACAGATCTGGGAATAAAACATTTGCCATGTTGCTCTGGAAAAATAATTATATCTTTCTGAACTCTGGTTGCCTCATATCTGCAAGAAGGGTGAATTAATACCTACTTTGTAATGTTTATGCAAAATTTACATAAGGTGATATACAACACATTTATCTCTACTATTATACTTTGTTGTAACCAAGGACACCATATCATAATAAATATTCAACTAAATTTAAAAATTAATATTAGGCTAGGGACTTAGCTCAGTGGCATGCACAAAACTCTAGCATTGCAATAAATGAATCCATTTTAAGATACTATAGTTTTGTTTCATAGGTAATATGCAGTTTCTTTACAAAGTAACCTATGATACAGTATTTCATTTTCATGTTTTGAAAATGGTGCACAGGTAAAGGCATAGCAACTTTAAAGGTCATCTATTTCAATCTTTTCCTTTGTAGATGAGAAAAATAAGTTCTGGAAAAAAACAAAATGACGTGCTTAGAGTTCTGTAGAAAGAAAAAAATCAAGATATTTCTGATCAGTTCATTCACCACTTTAGTTGGTTTTTTTTTTTTGCCCTTGAGATGCAGAACTAGAGAGGCTAAATAGAAGCTAAGCAGAGAGGATATCCAATGGTCATGTCCAGTGGAACCAGAGGCAAAAGAATGTGCTTGACCTGTGCAAGGGGAACTGTGAGGCTTAGAGGTCTGGGGCAATGCCCTTCTGTCCAAAGTGCAAAATCAACCACACCTTCATTTGCTTGGGAAGTTACAGCTCAAGTGCATCCATGTAAACAAAGGTATACTGTCAGTGAGATAAGGGTACTGTCTTGGTTACTTTTCTCTTGTTGCTGGGACAAAATACCTGATGCCCAAAATTAAGGAAGGAAAGGTTTATTTCGCTTACAGTTTGTGGATACTTCGCATACTTGGCAGGTTACAAGGCAGAGTGGCACATGGCAGAGGGCTACAGCTCATGGCGGCAGAACATAGCAAAAGCAACAAGCATACAAGGAAGGAATGGCCTCAAGCAGCCTCTTTCTCTCCCCTTACATATGCAAACTATCCACCCCAGGGCAGCTGTAGCTCTCACACCCATAATCAATCAAATGCTAAAAGCCTGCCCCATGACTGCATGAGGCTTTGGGGGGAACACCCAGACACAAACCATAACAGGTACACAGAAACGCAGGATAATAGGTCCCAATTTTAATTTTACAACACTCACTAAAGGCCAAACATTATTATTTGAAGATGTCTTATACTAAAGTTTGTAGAGTTAAGGGTATGTGTTTGTTGTATAGAAACTTCTAATTTTTTTAACAGAATAAGTGAGAAAGTAGAACTAGTATTTTATCAGTGAACTAGTATTTTACATTTTTAGAAGACATAAATTTCAGTCCACTGTATTCAAAGTGGAACTAATCCTGAAACGTAAGAAATAGAGCAAGAATAAAATACATAAACATTTTGCTTCACTTAGGTAAGAAAGGAGGAATTATAAAACAAGTTATCAAGCACTCAGCAACTGACTGATACATGATAAATTTTCTTTCATATTCAAAACTCTCCCTGACATCTAATACATGTTTTCATTTCTTTCAAGAGGTAGTCTTGCCTAATATTACTTCAATTATATAGTTAACACATAATTGCTCCTCGGCCTTTTGGCTAAGATCAAGTGTAACACACAATTTTAAAAGTTGATGTGGTTTAACTTTCAAAATGGTGAGAGTATACAAGACAAGGACTGAGATATCATTAAAAAACATGAGAAAAGGAACATAACACTAATGATAAAGATGTTTGCAGAAGCAAACACACTGCCTTTAGCAAACAAACAATTAGACTGAAAGCTGCATGAGGACCAAGATTATGTCTGATTTTCACTCTTGCAAATCCAGCCATGAGGCTCATACCAAACCTCAGGATGAATATTGTGGTGGCTAAAGGAAGCATACAGCTTCCTGAATAGTTCAAATCACTAGTGATGTTCATCTTTCCCATAATAATCTTCAGAGGCACTTTAGCTATTCTAATGTTTGTAAACTGGAAATAGTTTTGACTCATCACATGAAAGAGATCAAACTAGGCATTGAACCCTATGAACTTTCAAGGGGTTGGAGCTGAGGAGTGAATCTGGATGAACCAAACCAGCAGGAAATTAGTGCACAGCCAGTCCTTGTGTAGACAGATCCTCAATCCACACACTTGTATGTTATCCATAATGATCACTGTGTAGTACCCAGCATTTAAAAAGTACAAATAAGGCAAGCTAATTGTGTTCATAAAAATCTATGGATAAACAGAGAAAAACAACCCCACAGCTAACTATGTAATACTTAGCTATTAGTTAGAAACTGTCAAACCTCTCCTAAAGCTTGCAGTTGTCTGAGGTACAAAATTGGACCTCAGCCTTTGCTCCCTCATATTCTAAAATGCTTTTCTCTCAGAACCTTTTACACTTTTACAAATTCTCAAGGGATTCAAGAGTTTAGAGTCTACATTTTTTTTTATCGGGAGTATGTTTTCCATGTTCAAAATTAAAACTAAAAATATTTAAAGTAACACAAATCATGTGTTATTTGATAACATGAATAATATATTCTCATGAAATATTATATTTTCCAAACAAAAAATTTTGAGAACATTGTTTCAGACTTTTGTAAATCCATTTGATGGCAGGCTTGATTAAAAACAGTTGGATTTTCATTAGCTTCTGCATTCAATCAGCTAAGACATGTTATTTTAATTGAACAATGTTTAGAAAATCCAGCTTCACACAGGTACAGAATTGAAGAAGGGAACCCACAAAGGGCCTTGAACCCAGAGTGGTCCTCATCCCACACTCTGAAAACTGCTGGACTATAACAATGTCATCAGCCATGTGGTCGGTATTCAGCAACTACCTGCTAAATTGACGAAAAGTTTACAAACGATATTAACATTCAATGTTAATTTAACTGACAATATTATTTATAAATGCTCATTGGTTTTGCTATAACAAAATGTTAATTACTGGAGCTGTCAATTCATTACTACTAAATTAGAAAGTAGACTCATAGAAGGTAGTCTGCACCAAAGAGGGAAAAACATGAAAATCAAATACATGACGCCAATATGTAGTAGAAATAAATGGATGACTAGAAAGAGACTTTTTGCTTAAAAAATATATATAATCAAATCAAGTGGTTAATTTGAATGCTATGTGGATCTCTTTTAAGCAGTAAATTAGATTGAAACACTTTACTGAATACAAGATGCATTATAATATTTTCAGTACCACACATGCCATTTCTAATTAATCTGTAAAAACCATAATAAAAATTTGCTTATGTCTTTGGCATTTCTGCATTAGATATTAATAGAAATTTGCCAAATGCAGGAGAAAATATAGTGGCTCAAAGAGTTTATAATTTCCAAACTTATAGTTTTTGTTTTTAAAAATAACTAAATAAAATCAGAAATAATAGTATAATTTTTAATATTACATAGGTTTCAAAAATCGCATCTCGCTCGCTATCTGGAAAGAACAAAGAACAAAGTGACTTACTTTTTCTTCTCCTGAAGCTGATTCCCAAGAGGAGCCATTTTGGGTTCTGTCCCAAGATCGTTCGGCATGCGCTGCCTCCGCTTTCTACTTGGCGCAATGTCCGTGACGTCAGGGCTCGAGATCAGGGAGTCTTCTTTGCTCAAAGTGGCTAAAATAAGATGAAGTAAAAATGGAACCTCAGGAAATTGTGCATATACTGGAGAAAAGATAACATCATCAAAATACAGGAAAATATTTTCTCAATCTTTCTGCAGCTTCACACTAATTCAGTTAGAAGGAGTGGGATACTTTACTAGCAGCATAAAATATTAAGGGAATGATAAGAGTCAGGTTGATTTTTCGTTTGTTTGTTTGTTTTTCGGTACCAGGAATTGAACTCATGACATGCAAGTGCTGTGCTGCTGAGCTAAATCCCCAGTCCCAAGTCAGGTTGATATTAATTGACATGATCAGTGGGTATGGAGAGTCCAGTTAGAAACTCAGAGATAATTTCAGAGTCTTAAACCAAATGTGAGGTATAGGAATAAGAAAAATATAATAAAATAATAAAACATGCCTCTAATGTGGTTAAGCTATTAAATTATGCCTCAGTATGTTTGGTACATGTGAAACAGAAGACACATCTTGATCTGTGTTCCTTTATTCTCTATCAACAACTTAGTTCCAAAAAGCATAAAGGAGCACCAGGTTTTCATTCATTCATCCACCACACAGTATATTCTGCTATAATACACACTTCTGGGAAAGGGATGTTTTATGATTGGAAAATACAGCACCATCACTATAATTTGAACTTTAGGAGGTCTTGTTGATCTATAAGTTTTTTGTTTTTTTTTTTCCAACATGGTTAACAGTGAGAAGTGACTAAGGCAAGCTTTCCAGTTTAAGAGCAGGCCTTTGCAAGGTACACATGTTTAAATGAGAGGAAGTTCTGAGCCACAATCCAGTGTAAGTCCATTCCTCCAGGACAGAAAAGGGCTGGCTTCATGAATACATGGAGCCCAGAACCCCAGGCTCTTCTCCAAAGTTGAATATTCTGTGGAAGCAGCAATTACAGCTGAAGATGTTGTAAAGACACATCTCCCTGTATCTTGAGTCACATTTTCCATCCTACTGAAGCCACTAGAATCAAACACACGGAGTAATGCAGTTTCAGCCCTCTGAAAGGTGTGCTGCAAAGGTCAGCTCACTACGACCCTCCAGGGCTGCTGGAGAGTCCACAATGCTAAAAATTCTATCAGGGTTTTAACTGGAGACCTCACAAGGGCAGACCTGTACAGACCTGGAATGTTCTGCCTAAACCTTTACCTCACCCAACAAACTCCATTCCTTTTAGTGTGTCATTGTGCAAAGTGGATTTTCAGGCATTCATAACTCTCATTCTCACAGAGAAGCCTGCATGTGGAATCCTTTATGTAGCTCAGGCCTTACTAGAGCTCCCCTAAATCATTCATGACACTGTTCCCACCCTCTCAAAATTATTCTCTTGATTCTCTTTATGTCTTAATAATAACTAATACTTTTGAAAAGGTATGTTCTGGGCACTGTGCTATAGGTGTTATATACATCATATTATTAATCCTTAAAATAATTTTGTGAAGCATTTACTATTCCATTTTCATTTTGTTTATGACAAATCCAAAGTTTCAAAGAGGTGAAGGGATTTACCCTAAAGAGTACTTGCTCTTATATTTTCCTACTTTAACAATTACAAAGTATTTTCCCTAGGACTAGGGATGTAGTTCAGTGACAGTGCTTATGTTGCATGCGGAAGGTCTTAGATCTGAGTCAATCTCCACTTCTAAAACAAAACAAAACAAAACTTCCCATGGTTAAATTATTCTTTCATCAAATATCAATTGAATGTTCCTTAAAAGCATCTTAATTTCCAAAGCTATTTAAGTTTTAGCACATAATGGTCCTGCAATGTCAAGCAGAAACACCAAAATGACACCCAGCATTTGGAGACTGATTTATTTGCGTTGATGGGCACTGATTGGGATCATTTCCAAAATATCAGGCCCTGATCTTTGGTGGTCTGGGCCTATATGTGATAAGCAAGCAGGAAGTGCAGAGGCAGAATGGTTTGTCAATTAGGGATTGGATCTTAAAATGTGCATCTTAGTGACCAGTTATGCATCACAGTGACCAGCTGTTTGTAAGGGACAGAAGCAACCAGAACTGCAACAGGAACTATTACCTGGGCAACTAACACACTGAAGTATACTGGCTGGGAGGGCCATTTTTTGCTACATTTCCCCCCTCTTTTAGTTTCTCCAGCAAATTGTTATGGGGCATATTATTACATGTGATAGTCTCAGATAAGACTCAACTAGAAGCAGTAACATTAGGCTTGTCAGTGATCCTAGGACAGGCCCTAGCCAAGCTCCCCAAGATTGTCTTCTTATGGAGATTTTTTTCTAAATTAACTTTAGGAAGAGACATAATGTAGGCCTCTCTGTTGTGCAATATTACTCTGGGAAGGTAGTGAGGGAGTTAATCGGATCTAGGAGAGTGTCCAGTGTACTTTGGACACTCATCAAATCTTGGTCAAATATTTAATTGATTGTTCTATTCTCTTGGGGCAACCACCCATAGAGTTTAAGTCAAAAAACACAGCCAGCAGAGGGCAGGGAAGCAAGACCGGCATAAGAAGCCTGAAAAGACACAAACATCAAGGGGAATAGGTATGGAGCAACCCTGCGAATGATGTCCTCAGGCTTCAGCCATGTACAGACTGGCCAGTGCCAAGAGTGACCCGGGCAGGACTTCAAGTGCATTGTCTCTTCAGAGTGAGCCTTGAAGATGCTTTTCCAGGTAAATTCTCAAGCAGACCTAATGCTGGATTCTGAAACTTGTAGTTAGTATATACCTGGGTTATGTATTATGTACAGGAATAGCTACAGACATAGCTGGCCTTTTAATTGGTTACAAGCTGTTTTTTAAACTTTCCTAGAGTGTTGTGGCCTGTATGCCATATGTAGTTTTCATCGAATCTAGTTTTGAGTTATGTCTGCTAAAAATGCAGACCTGTTGTCACTGCCAGTGATCAAGGGTAGGCCATATCTAGGGATTGTTTGTACAGCAGGACCCTACAAACTTTTATTGTCTTCTCTGTATGGGTAGGGAATGGGAGGTCATGGAGGGTAACACAGACTGAAGCCTGAGCTGGCTGGAGGGGTATGGGCACCAATGCAGTAGCTTGAGCTTGCAGAACATATACTGGAGGCAGGTCTTGTTGCTAGGGTTGATGTTTCAGTCAATTGGATCCTTGGAAGGGGCTTAAGCCTCTGTACCAGATTATTCTGCATTGTTGGTGACAGGTTTCCAAACAGCATCAGAAGGAGTGTACTGTGCAGATCATTCTTACAGAAGAGTTTTGGTCAAAATAGTTTTGTCCAAGGTGACCACAACGTATATAGCCTGTCAAACTTCACTCTTATCAGACCTACTTCCATCCATAAACAGGGTGAACTCAGCATCTGTCAGGGGTCCACTTCTAGAACAGTTCATCCCAGTGCAGCATGTGGCACCTGGATAGTTAGGCACTGGCCTAAGGTGAGCTTGCCAGCTTTCTTGATCAGAAGGACACCACCTACTAGAGTACAAAGGCCAAGGGGGAGGCAGTCCTTAGTGACTGGATCAAATTGTTTGCACAGTAAGGCCACTGAATGCTACCAGGGGCTGAAAGTCTGAGTAAGCATCATATTTTTGGTGCACTCAAGGACCCAGATTTTATAGAAGCCAGCAGCTCCAAGAAATTTGCAGAGATTTTCTTGTAACCACTTTCTGCCAGGTATTGCAGCACAGCTTTTGTGCCCTTCCAGCAGGCAGCTTCGGTGTTGTCATGGATTGACAACTGGTGGTCAACTTATAACACCCAGCTGAACTGAATAAGTGTGGTGCTGGGTGTGGGAGGCCAACTTGGGTACGTTTGCCAGCAGCGTAAGACGCAGACCTGGAGAAGAAGAAGTGAGGCTGTTAGGTGCAGAGAAAAGCTGTTGGAGCTGGTTGAAGCTGTAAGGAGCTGTTGGTTCTTTTGGAGGAACTTGTCATGCTGGCTTTCCTGATGAACTTGGCTGTTTTCATCCTCTGAGGAGCTTGGGACATTGTTGGCACTGAGAACAGCTTCGGTTCACATTGGGGGAGCTCTGGTCTTCACTTTGAGGATGGCTTCCTGGCTCTGGTGTGGAAGATGGTGCACTGCCAGTCTCCTGGAGAAGCTTGCTGTGCTGGCTTTCTTGATGGGAACTCGGCCATCTTGACCATCTAAGGAGCTCGGGACCTCACTGCTGCTGAAGACAGCTGTGGTACCTTTCAGGGGAGCTCTGGTTCTTACTTTGAGCATCACTTCCTGGCTTCAGTGTAGAGCCCTCAGCCTGCTAGCACAGATCTTCATCCCGCTGGCACAGACTTTCTAGATTCCACCATTGACCTTTGGGCCCTCCCAGTCAGATCTGTGAAACAGGCCTGAATGAGATATTGTTATGGGCTCTAGGCCTCCATTTGGACTCCTAGGAGGCATTGATATGAGCTCTAGATCTTCACCTGGACTCATGCAGGACATTTCTGTGGGATCCAGGCCCTTGGCCAGTTTCCTTGGTCTTAGTGTGTAGACAGATTTCCTGCACTCTTTTGTATAGCATTCTTTGGGTGACTATTATAAATAATCTTATAAAATATGTGTCCTGTATTATATTGTTTCCCCTTGCAAAAATAAGCCCCAAACCATGACAGGGGTCATCAATCAGAAGTACAGTGATTGTCTCTAAAGAGGGTAAACAAGTTTTTGAACCTCTGGGAGGTTGAGTCCAGGTCAGTTAACCTTTGAGTTAACTGGGGTCTTTGTAGACAGGAGCCAAACTGTGGCTTGTGGACAGGAGCCCAATGAAGGCAGAAGAAGGCATTCTTTAGGTCCAGGCAGGTGTACCACCAGGCTGTGGGTGGCAGAAGATTGAGGCAATACATACATAGGGCAATCGTGGCAGCACTGGCAGCTTGGAGATCTTGAACTGGCTTTATGGACAGGAGAGGTGTATTTTAGCAGTTTGACAGTTTATAAACATTTTGTGATTTCTGAAACCTCAGGAATGGTCGAAAAGGATGTATGTACAGTGCACGCACAGAATGTAAGGTGATGGCCATGTT